GGTTGGCAACCCTACTGGAGTGTCTTTACGTGGGTGCTGCCATTTCCCCTTCAGCCACAAAAGTCTGCTGTGGCACCTCGATTTAGGCAGGCAGGGTCCCTCTCTGCTTCCCCTTTCTTCTCCCCCTGCTGGTGCACCAGGCCAACATGGCGGCAAAGCATCAAATTGTGCATGTCCCTAGTAGTCAAGAGTGGGGAAGAAGGAAAGGTGATATTGCAATAGAGCAGCCAGAGACAGATTCTGTGAAATCCTACATTTTTTCAGTTTTTCTTTCATGATGTGTCATTTGTGTGGCGATATCAAATGCTATAAAACAACATTGCCACCGAGTAAACTTTGTCACACACTTCAGGAAGTTGTAATAGTTATTTTGTTGTAACTTCTGATTGCTTCTAAAATAGATATTCAGTTCTTCAAGGCAGAGTACTGCTTTAATTACTAATGCTTTATTAGATAAAACAGAATAGTTGACAGTATACATTTATTTTCTTGTATAAAGACACAGCAAGTTATTTTGATTAAAAGAAACACAGTCTACATGCTCTGAGATATTCTGTTAAAAATAAGATATGTTATAATACACTATCTTATTTTTAACAGACTATCTCAGAGCATGTAGACTGTTTCTTTTAATCAAAATACAGCACCAGTGGGTTAGACTCTGTTTTAAACTAATCTCTTGCCAAACTTCACTTTTCAGATTGAAGCCAAAACAGTTTGTTCTCTGACTGATGCATTATATGTGAAGTTTTGGAGCAGGACTGGTTTTTGTTTGTTTGTTTGGTTATTTTTTTTGGGGGGGGGGCAGAGTTAACTCCTTGGGGCTTAAGTGGTGATGTAACCTTAACTGAGGTGCAAGGATAATATAGAGCACAACATAAACTGGTTTCTCCCCATACCTATGTGTCTTTGCTGTTTTAAAAAAAAAAAAAAAAAAAAAGTACCATACATGCATTCAGGAAGCAGGATGTTCTGTTTTAAGTGCAAGGAGTACAGTATAAGGAATCAATCCTGTGGAATGCTAAACACTTTCATGGAACATTGATGATTTTGTTGACTTGTATTACAATAACCCAGAAGCCTCAGTCAGGTTTTGAGCCTCAAAAGTAATCTCCAGAATGTGGGTGACTGTGCCATCAGGAAGAAACATGAAGTCATCCTGTTTGGGCCATAGTGACAGGAAGAGGAGCATTAGCACAGGAAGACTGATAGGTTTTTTTTTTATGCCTCATTTCCCATAGAACTAAGTTCTCCTTAGTTCCATTACCTCTTATGGAAACTGCTTTTGTGAGAAAATGCCGTGTGTGTTTTCCATAGCAAATTAAGGTCCAATCCTGTTTCCATTAAAGTCCCAAGAGGAATGCTACACATTGACATCAGTGGGAGCAGGATTAGGCCCTAAAACTATGTACAGTAACTCCTCACTTAGTCGTCCCAGTTAACGTTGTTTCGTTGTTACGTTGCTGATCAATTAGAGAACATGCTCGTTTAAAGTTGTGCAATGCTCCCTTATAACGTTTGGCAGCCGCCTGCTTTGTCCACTGTGTGCAGGAAGAGCAGCCCGATGGAGCTAGCTGGTTGGGGCTTGGAACCAGGGTGGACCGGCAGCCCCCCTATTCCCCGCTCCCCTAAGTTCCCTGTGCAGCAGCCGCCCAGCAGGCTATCAATTGTCGGGCAGCTCAGCTTCTCCCTCCCCCTACTGCTGTGTGCTGCTCCTGCCCTCTGCCTTGGAGCTGCTCCCAGGAGACTCCTGCTTGCTGTGCAGGGGGCGGAGGGGATGAGGGGTGCTAATGTCAGGGTGTCTCCTTCCCCCCACTCCTGTACCCCCATCTCCTGTACCTTATCTCCACAGGGGGGGACACTACAGGGCTCAGGACTGAGGGAGTTTGCTGGCAGCAGCTGCTGTCTCAATTTGCTAATCTACTTAAAAAGGCAATGTACTTAGAGTGGGGTCAGCATACTTAAAGGGGCAATGCAAGTCTCTCTCAGGGCTTGTCTATACTTACGCGGTAGTTCGGCGGCTGGCAATCGAACTTCCGGGTTCGATTTATCGCGTCTTGTCTGGACGCGATCAATCGAACCCAGAAGTGCTCGCCGTCGACTCCGGTAATCCTGCTCGGAGAGAGCAGTACGCGGAGTCGACGGGGGAGCCTGCCTGCCACGTCTGGACCGCGGTAAGTTCGAACTAAGGTACGTCGACTTCAGCTACGTTATTCACATAGCTGAAGTTGCGTACCTTAGTTCGAATTGGAGGGTTAGTGTAGACCAGGCCTCACACAGAGTGTGTGTCTCTGTCTCTGTCTGCCATGCTGTCTCTCCTCCCTCCGTTCGTGCTGCCTTGTAGAGTGTGAGGCTACATTAACAACAATGTGTTAACCCTTGAGTGCTGAGCTGACTGCTAGTTCATCATTTAGCAGTAAGGCATTCCCTGGGAAATATCCCACCCTCTTCCACCCACTGACTTCACTACCTCAACCAAGCTTCACAATCATCATTGCTGTGTACAGTATTAAATTGTTTGTTTAAAACTTATACTGTGTGTGTGTGTATGTGTGTGTATAATATAAAATATAGTCTTTTGTCTAGTGAAAAAAATTTCCCTGGAACCTAATTTCCCCCCGCCCATTTACATTAATTCTTATGGAGAAATTGGATTCGCTTAATATTGTTTCGCTTAAAGTCGCATTTTTCAGGAACATATCTACAACGTTAAGCGAGGAGTTACTGCATCTAGAATGGTTGTTACACGGTCAAAATCTTGTCTCTTAGTTGACCCCCCACATTCAAATACAACATCATGCTTTGGGCAGACTACTAGTAATACGCTTACTATACCATGAAGGTGACGTTCAGGAAAAAACGGCTTCTGAGTAGAAATAAACTGAATATAGAACTCTGCAACAAGAACTAGAATAAATTGACTAAGTATGTGGTCAGTTAATGCTGTGATATCACAGTTGTGATTTAAGTTGACTTGTTCAGTTCATTGCTGAAAGCTGGATTTCTGGGTGTATCAGTATAGAGAAATTTTTAAATTAGTCTTCCACTTTTGAAGTAAGTGGGGTTTGGGATATATATGTATATTCAAAGAGGTATTCTTGCTTTTAGAGTTCTTAAAATACTTTTGTTCACTCCATATGATGAAAATGGCAGGCATTACTGGCAAAGAAAATGCTGACATTAATATTTTTATATAACCAGCATTTCTGATCTTCATTGAAAGTCCGGTTTATAGTCTGGTTGGTGGCAGGCTCCCTACGTGGCTCTGCGTGCAGGGGTGACCTAGAGAAATTGGAGGATTGGGCTAAAAGAAATCTGAGGTTTGACAAGTGCAGAGTCCTGCACTTAGGACGAAAGAATCCCATGCACTGCTACAGGCTGGGGCACCGACTGGCTAAGCGGCAGTTCTGCAGAAAAGGACCTGGGGATTACAGAGGACGAGAAGCTGGATATGAGTCAACAGTGTGCCCTTGTTGCCAAGAAGGGTAACGGCGTAATGGGCTGCATTAGTAGGAGCATTGCCAGCAGATTGAGGGAAGTGATTATTTCCCTCTATTCGGCACCGGTGAGGCCACTTCTGGAGTATTGCGTCGAATTTTGGGCCCCCCACTATAGAAAGGATGTGGACGAATTGGAGAGAGTCCAGCGGACGGCAACGAAAACTATTAGGGGGCTGGGGCACATGATTTACGAGGAGAGGCTGAGGGAACTGGGCTTATTAGTCTGCAGAAGAGGGGGGGGGGGATTTGATAGCAGCCTTCAACTACCTGAAGGGGGGTTTCAAAGAGGATGGAGCTAGGCTGTTCTCAGGTGAACTCAGTGTAACTTGTGCTTTTGAAAATTCCACCTTTAAGTGCCTATATATGGGCTTGAGAGCCTAATTTTAGGCTCATAGTTTTGAAAACTTCGGCCTGTGTACAAAATAGTTTACAGTAATTTAATGTATTGAAAGTGTAAACTTTTTAAACGGTGAAGCAATTTTGTTTTGAAGTGACAAAGATTTTGTACACAAATATTAAGAACTTTTAGCCTCTGGTGCTGCGAATACTTATGCACATACTTAACTAAGCAGATGAGTAGTCCCACTGAAGTCAAAGGGACTCTTCATTTGAGTAAAGTTACATGCTGGTTTTAGTCCTTGTCCTACAAACTCTTAATTGTCCTTGTTTTGTTTTTTGCCTGTAGCTGCTTTGTAAAATTCAAATAAGATACCTTAACTGTAGTAGAATTTATACTAAAATAAACTAACTAAAAAAAGCATTTGTAATTTTGTTCATTAGATTAAAATTTATAGTTGCAATAGCACAGATTTTCAAATTAGCTTTACAAAGGCTCCATCTGATCTGATATAAATATTTTAAATTAGTGACTTAAATAGCCTTGATTTAAATCTCTCCATCTTGCTCTATTCCCTGGAAACTTTCTCCAAACAACACTCTGAATTCATTGAACAGGGGATATAAGTGTAGGCTTTACAGTTTTACAGCAATGAGAATCAGGGTTTTGTATTAAAATCCTAGTAGTAAACTACTAATTGAGCTCTTGTATGATTTCATATTACAGGGCCTTGAGACCATAAGAGAATCAAATAAAGTGGAAGCAGGAAATTTCTCCATAAAGTTTAATTGGAAAAAGTATTTCAAAATGAATTTCCACTATAAAATATTTCATTGGAAAAAATATTTTTCAAAATAGATTTCCTCTAATCCCCAACTTAAAACTTCTTGTACGTTTTCGGAAAGTACAAGGACTAAATTTACTGAGGGATTTGTTTTCTGGTTTCCAAAGTCTTGAAATTTCCCTGCTGGCTAATAACTGCTTATTACTGTAGACATTGGTCCTTTAGCAGTAACATTTTCCATCTTAAGATGGGTTGGCCCATTCAAGTGAAGAGCATGTTGTCTGAGTGCTGAATGGAATTACTACCAATGGAAACTATGCTGCAAGAGGAGTTGATAAAGCAGCTGCTGTGCAAACCTCAGCTGTTTTTTCCATCTTCCAAAGCAAAGTTAATTAGCATAGGAAAGCTGACTAATGTGCTGATGTCACCTCTTTCCAGTAGACGCTTACATTTTGTCCCTGCCTGCCTTAAAGCATGCAGGACTTTGTTCAGGAATTTGCTGTCACTTACGGGATGCACTGAAAGCTTTTTTGAGGGGGTTGGACTTTTTTCCTTTATAAACACAGTCTGCAGAACCAACAGCTTCCTTAAAAGTAATTGCCTTGGATTTGTGTTGAACTGCTAACGTTGCTTTAGTGAAGCACAAAATGCATTTTAGGAACCTTAACTACAGTTTTGGTTCCCTAATTGCCTATGTGGCAGACAGCGATGTCTTCAATCAAATTGAAATGAGGGTAAGGCTTTTTTAAAGTTGTTTTAGTTCTGTGAACTTCTTAAATACTGAAGGATAGGTGCTGTTCTAAAATAGTTGAAAAATATTGTGCTGTTTAAAACATTAAACAGATAATGCTTAAGAAGTAGGGAAGAACTATTTCAGAGTTAACAGGTTGTAGTCTGCAAATGTGTATTTCATGTATTATGTTTCAGTCTTAAATTCCATGTGATACATTAAGATCTTTATCTTCTGCTTTTTCAAATACTTGTAGTCTGTCCATAAAAATACTGTGTATATATGCATGTGTATGTGAGTATGAGTTGAAAAAATGTCATTTGAAGGCATTTTCAGTAATGTTCAGATTTAAAATGTTGCTAATAGGATCATTTATATTAGAATATATGAAGATGTTTAAATTACATAGTTGGTGTAGCACTGTAATCGTTAAGATTGGTGATACTGCTGTAGTGTTGGAATGCTACATAATACAATCACTCCAGTTATATAACTGATGAGAATGAAGGAATAACAAACACATAAATGTTGGACTTACAGCAGAGAATTATTGATTAGCTGTCTTAAGACACCTGTCAGGCACAAAACAATTGGATTTTATTAGTAGACACTGATGCTAACATCTGATTTCATCTGGAAGTTGGATCTGTGAGGTGAGTATTTTATAATACTACAGACTTTTCTTTTTGGCTAACATAAAATTGAAGATACTATACATTTCATTAATCATGCAGAAGGTCTCCAAAGGTTTAGTGGTGCATATGAATTCTGAATTATAGACCAAACTGTTTTTCTGAATAGATATGAATGAGATATTGGTGCACCAAGTAGTGTAATATAGAAAAAAGATAAATACAGGCTTAGATTTCAGAAATACAAAGCAGCTTTCTTTCCAGTGTAGAAGGCTAACAATAACAAGTAATTCCTGTGCTAAGGGTTCTATTCTTGAGAATTGTATTAAAACTACTTGGAGTTTACATACAACTTGCTTTTATTAGAACACTAAGTGTAGCCCAACAAGAGACAGGACAGTTTTGAGTTAACATGCATTCATGAAATATTTGGCTTTTGTCTAATAAATATTTGCTACTTAGAGTCTTGGGATAGCAGTAGCAAGTTGTTGTGAGTTAGAACCACACTTAGCTTAAATAAAAACTATAACCAAAGGTTTATATAAGAGAATAATGAAATTAAGTGTTCAAGAAAACAATTTATTACGCTATTTTTTTATACCCTTCTATGTAGTCTTATCCAAAACTCAGTGATTAGACTGAATGCAGTTGAAAGATGAACGTGAAGTCAGAACATTCTGATCAGTAAGATTCTGTGAATTAGTAACATACAAAATGTCAATACATAAAACATAACTTACTACTAAGGGCTGTACATAGCGAGTCATTGTGCTTAAAATAAATCTGAAACAGCAAGCATGCCAGCCATAGACTCATTTTTCCCTTCCCTTCCCCTCAGCACCCTGAAGTAAAAATGGAAACATTCTTCATAAATAATGTAAAAATAGCTGAGTTCGGTTTGGATAGCTGCCCCATGTGCTCTAAAAGCTCAAACATTAGTGAGGGCTTGGCTACACTAGGGACTTCACAGCGCTGTATGTACTCCACCTCTCCGAGGGGAATAGCTTGCAGTGCTGCGAGCGTGCAGCGCTGCAGGCACTGATTACACTGGCGCTTTACAGCGCTGTACTCGCTGCGCTCAGGGAGGTGTTTTTTCACACCCCTGAGTGCAGCAAGTTGCAGCGCTGTAAAGCACCAGTGTAGCCAAGGCCTTACACAAATCGTCAGTGAAGACTGCCAACTTTTGATGGACTTACTCTTGTACTGTCATCCAGATAGGATGGCTAAGGCATTGGGCCAACAGCGATAAAAGTACAAGGTTTCGGAGTCAGAAGGGCTGGGTTCTGTTCCCACTCTGCAACAAATGTACTGTTTTAACCTTGGGCAAGGCCCTCACCTCTGTTTCCATGTCTGCGTAATTAGAACAATACTTTCTTTACTAAAGGAGTTGAGTCTTCATTTGTAAAGGTCTTTGAGATCCATAGATGGAGGGTGTAATAGAATTACTGTGTGTCATTATAACTGAAGTTTCCTTAAGCACACTTCGTTTCCCTAAATTAAAAACAAGTACAAAAAATAGTTTTCATATGTCATAACATTACTGAGGTGTCTGGTTACCTTAAAAACAAGCACATTTTAGTACAGCACAATATTCAGTTTTCATGTCTACTGAACAGGAGTTTTACTTGAGTAAGGACTTCTGACCTTCACTTTACTTTGCCTGCTTTTTATAGATATTTCTGTATAAACTAAACTAAGCAATTAAAACTCCATGATTTTCATCACTTGTGAATAGACCTTTTTTTGCATGCCACAAAATTGAGACAGAAGTCAGTAGACATGCAACATATTTAACTTTTTTGTAATCTTTTCTTCTACCTTGAAGGCAGTATTATTTCAGCAAGAAAAAAGCAGCTGCTATGTTGTAAATAAATGATGATTGGTTTATTTTGAATGGCTTACTGTATTCTCTACTAAAATATTTTAGCATGCCACTATTAACCATCATAATCACCAGTTGTCCTTGAGGGAGTGAGAATAAATTACAAGAAAAAAGGGATGTGGCATGTACATGGCTTGTTTTGTAAAAAAAAAATATTTTTTTTTTTCAGGCCAAATTTGAATCTCTCTTTAGAACATATGACAAAGATATCACCTTTCAGTATTTTAAGAGCTTCAAAAGAGTACGAATAAACTTCAGCAACCCTTTATCAGCAGCAGATGCTAGAATCCAGCTACATAAAACAGAATTTCTTGGAAAAGAAATAAAACTGTATTTTGCTCAGGTATGTTTTACCAAGCATTTCTGTATAAATGTAATCATTTTGCCATTGAGTTTTATGCTGTTGTAGTACATAATTTTTTTAAAGATCCGTGAAAATTTGTAACATTCATTAGTGACCAAATCGATTGTCTGGGTACACCGCAAGAAGGACAGGAGACACTCGTTATGGATTTTAATTAGGCCGCAACTTTATTATATAGATGTCTGGGACTACCTGGCAGATAAAGTGTACAGTGCGGCCAAATATCTGCTTATTCAAATCAATTCTCTGGGGCTTCCACCAGCCCCCCCTTTGTTTCCATCCAGGTCCCCCAGCCGACCCATGGCTTGGACCTTACCATCCACCACCCTTGTAATAGGGTTAAGGTGGGCTATGAGAATGGGGCCGGGGTTGGCTCCCTGCCGTACCAACCAGAGGAGTCCCCAACCCCCTCCCCCGTTCTGTTCCTTTATCCATTACCTCCTTTTAAGTCCTTTACCATGGCATTTATCTGGTCACTGGCTGCCTTCCCTATGGAGTACCTGCACTGACCATCCACCCAACCTTACAAAATAAGTTGTGACATATGGCCTGCCACCTTCTCTTCTCACTAGAAGAGGTCCTCCCTCACACCCGCTGTGGGGAAGGCAAAAAAAACACTCCACCGAAGCCAATTCTGGTGGTGCGGGAAAAATTCCTTCCCAGCCCCCCTTTAAAAGGAGCAACTAGCGTAATGCCCACAGCAGGTCCTAACCCAGCCTGCCATTCACCTCCACTAGGAGAGGGAGGGTGGGTGCTGGCTTCCTTGCTGCATGGAACAAAGAGACATGCCCCACCCAGGTTTCATACCTTTATGTCCTTCAGATCTCACATTCCTGGGGGGGAGGAGAGGGAGTCATTGCTGTAAAAAGGGGCTCGGTGGTCAGCTTTGCAGCAGTTTCTGACCTCCTTCCTCCCCCCCCCCCCCCCCCCCCCCCCCATAAAGCAGAGTTGTCCTTCCTGGGTAAGCCCCAGACAAACTCTGCCCCACCTTAGTTTTGGTGCAGTCATTGGAGAAACATCAGGTAGGTCCCTCCAAACTTAGGAGTGTTTGGAGGCTAATGGATATGTTAGGTTTCTGCCTGGTTGTGTATTGTCTCCCCTTTATCCCAAGACAGGGCAAACATCTAGTACTCAACACTGTGTCATACCAAGAGCTGGTTGCGTAAACAAGGGGAGGAGTATATTTTGTAAAATTTCAAACAACTTTTGGGAATATTCAAAACACTTGATTTTATTGAATATAAAAACTTTTTTCTCTCACTACTTTAATTTTTTTCCACTGAAAGAGGGGAGTGTTCATCTCTTCCTAGCTTCTTCTTTTTCATAATGTTCTGAAATTTTTCATCAATTTCAATCAAAATGAAATATTGTTGCAAAAACTTCCATTTTATTGGAAATACTTTTTCTGTTGAAAATTTTTTGACACTTTTCAGCCAGCTTTAATTGAAAATCTAGTAACCCCAGAACTCCTAATGAGACACTTAAAGATATCCAGGGTCATTTTTATAGCTTCTTCTGTGTCCAAGCAAGCTTATATTGGTGTCAGTAATGACAAAAAAGGTAAATTTTTAATTTCAGATTATTAAACATAAAACAAAGATGGTTTTAAAAAACAAAATAACTGTAAGATTTCACTGGAGTGGGCGGGGGAATATGTCACTGAAAGCATGTCTACTCTTTGCCAAATTGTTAGCAACACTTCCTAGATATTCTGCATCGCTACAGTGCAGCTATAGAAGATTCTGTGGCAGCTTCAAATACATTTATTCAATGGAATGGAAGGCTTTATTGAATTAAATCCCAATAACTAGTACAGTAAAAGCTGTATTATCTGGCCCTGTACCAGCTGGAAAGCTCTATAAACCAGCATTTCTGATCTTGATAGAAAGTCCGGTTTATAGTCCGGTTGGTGCCAGACCGTCAGGCTCCCTACCTGGCTCCATGTGGCTCCCTGGAAGCGGCGACATGTCCCGGCTGTTCCTAGGTGGAGAACTGCCACAAGGGGTTTGGAGTGCGAGAGTAGGGGATGGGGCGCGGGAGGGAGTGCGGGGCACGGGCTCTGGGAGGGAGTTGGGTGCAGGATCCGGGGGGGCGCTTACCTCGGGAGGCTCTTCCAAGCAGCGACCTGTCCCGGCTACTCCTAGGCGGAGGCCCAGCAGACAGCTCTGCGCGCTGCCCCCGCCCTGTCCACTGGCTCCACAGCTCCCATTGGCTGGGAACCAGTGGGAACCCGCACCCAAACTCCCTCTTTCTTAACCAGCATTTTTCACTTACCGGCACCCCACATTACCCCAACATGCCAGATTTAAAAAGTTTTTACTGTACTAGTATTGTGTCCTTTGTGTTAATTAGTTTAGTTTGAGGTGTTTAATATATACATTAATATTTTTAAAGATGCTACAGGGATTTGTACTGACAACATAGTTGGCAGCTTGAGTAGTGACAGTTATAGCTTTGGCACCTGGGGGAAGGTGTGGGAATTATGTTGGATAAATGCGTTAGCTGGAGGTTTCTGCCAAAATGATAAGCAACTAAATAGAGAGACAAGGTGGATGAAGTAATATCTTATTGGACCAAAGCTTTTTGAGCTATGGCTTATTACATGTAACCCACTAAGTCCTCTTTTTTTGTCCTATGACTGCAAAGGTGTTAGCTGGCCTCTCTACCTTGAATGGTCCCTTAGAATAGAATATGTGCTAACAACTTATGCTAAACAATCTGTTCCACCTTGCATTTAGCTGTGATACTTGGAGTACCTTTCCCAGACCTGAAGAAGAGCTATGTATGGCTCGAAAGCTTGTCTCTTTCACCAACATAAGTTGGTCCAATAAAAGATATTACCTCACCCACCTTATCTTTAATATCCTGGGACCCAACTACACTACATAAAGCAACTAAATAGTAAATGATATTGGGGAATTAACTTGTAATATTAGATAAGGTAATCATTTGATAAGTTAACTCCCCTTTGAGATGACCAATTTGTTTGGCTATGCACAAACTCTTACACATACCTGCATAGTTTACACTTGGTTAATGTTTGGTGCTCTTTGCAATCATAACAGTTAGAAATGTAATTTTTCTTCAGTCAAAGCTTACATTCTTGAGCACAGTTCTTGTAGCATGGAGTGGGTTCTCAGCAAACCTGATGTCTGTGGAGTTGTAAAGAAAACACTGCTCTGATTGTTATACAGAGATGCAAATAACACTGGCTTGGAAGTTAAATCTTGTCCATTCTCAAAAATAGCCCTGATTCAGCAGACATGGTCTGGGGAGCTGCATTGGCAGTGATTTCTAAATATAGTCAAGGATGTGCAGGGGTCTGTACCAGTATATACAGCTACACTGATTTCTGGTCAATACTTTCTAAAACCTGTATGGTTGCACTGGTTGGTGCAAACCCCTGCATACTCTTATTTACACTTATAGGTGCACTGGTGGAAACCCATATGGGTGGTCAGTGGGTCACTGATTGCTGGATTCCTGAGTGTAGGAAAGACCAAGGAGATCTCTAACTGTACCTCAGTTCTGAAAATGTGTGCACTTTCGGTTGCTATCATTAGGCACCCCTTTTAAAACTTTAATGGGAAAATCAATCTGAGTGTCCCTTTCATCTTTGTATCCTTTGTGTTTGTTTCAAATGTCCTTAGGGACAATCCTGAAGGAGCCAGTTTATTTATATACCTTCTGGAATTTTCACCTCTTGTGGTAATAAGTTTCAACACCATTTATCATTAGACCTTACAGCCCCTGTTTAATTTCCCTCTATTTTGGTCTTTTAGGAGCAGATTTTTCTCTGATGAAATAACTATATATTAAAACAAAAACGGAAAAAAAAAGCAGATGTGCACATTTCCCTGCATGTTTTGTCAGCATTGTCAGCATGGTGGTTTTTAATTTTGTATGTCTGATATGTTATCACACATGGTTACATACTGCCACCTTCAGTGCTTGTTGTAGTACGATATCTGTTCAAACTTTAAATTCTATGTAAATGACTGATTAATGGAAAGTTAAAAGTAATAGTTAATCGTTTGTTTTATTCTCCCAGACTTTGCACATTGGAAGCTCGCGTTTGGCTCCACCAAAACCAGACAAACAGTTTTTGATTTCACCTCCAGCCTCTCCTCCTGTTGGCTGGAAACAAGTAGAAGATGCTACACCAGTCATTAACTATGACCTTCTCTATGCTATCTCCAAGCTAGGGCCAGGTAAGAAGGATATTGAGCTTAAAGTTTTAATACTTGTGTTTGAGTAAAAAATGACTTGGAATACTAGTAATAATTCAAAAAGCTTTCCCTCCCAAGATATCTGTTCATTATCAATTAAATTACTAACTATAGAAAACACTCTGAAGTTTTTTTATGTCAAGGATTGTTTTCTGAAATCACTTTTTTTGTATCAAAAAGATAAAAATTTCCATAGGAATATCCTTGCCAGAACAAAACATTCTTGCTGAGCCATACAGCATGAATTGCATTACAACTTGCTAATCTCATGAAGGTCATGACCTTACATAATGCATACTACTCATTTTTCTAAATGTTTTAATTAGGTTTGACCAGCCAATAGTTTTAGCAAAGCTACTTACTTTTTTTATGCCAAGATTTAAAATAAAATTGTAACTCTAACATACGTTTCCCCAGAAATAAAATGAAACTTGTAAAATATTTATATTTTAACTACACCTCTACCCCGATATAACGCTGTCCTCGGGAGCCAAAAAATCTTACCGTGTTATAGGTGAAACCGCGTTACATTGAACTTGCTTTGATCCGCAAGAGCGTGCAGCCCCGCCCCCCTTCCTCCTCCCCCCGGAGCACTGCTTTACCGCGTTCTATCCGAATTCATATTATATCGGGTCGCGTTATATCGGGGTAGAGGTGTATATAACTACTACTTTTTCTTAAACACTATTGCTGCTGTTCAACCATCTGACAGTAAATTAATAATTTACATATCTTTAGCTACTTTCATCAGAGGATTTGCAGACGTTGCACATATTAAGTCTCACACCACTGTGGTGATGTTGTGTTGTATTCATTTGATAGAGGGTTTTTTGAAATCAGAGAGGATAAGTGACTTATTATACAGTGATTCAGTGGCAGAGGGGAATAGAGGAAGCTCTAAGGGTACGTCTATACTTACTTCCTGGTCCGGATGTAAGCGATCGATCTTCTGGGATCGATCCCGGAAGTGCTTGCCGTCAACGCCGGTACTCCAGCTCAGCGAGAGGAGTACGCGGCATCGACGGGGGAGCCTGCCTGCAGCGTCTGGACCCGCGGTAAGTTCGGACTAAGGTACTTCGAATTCAGCTATGTTATTAACGTAGCTGAATTTGCGTACCTTAGTCCGAAGTGGGGGGTTAGTGTGGACCAGGCCTAAGAGCCTGGCTCCCATTTATCTGCAGAGCTGGAGACAGAATCCCTTCTTTGTTCTGTGGGAGCTCTCATCAGTTCTCTGTAGAACTGTTTGGGAAAAACTGTGCAAGGGACACCTTACAGACTATCCAGGCTGGCTTGCTCTTTGGTTCCCTAAAATAGCTGATGTCTCAAGCACCACAATTTGCATGGTGATGCAACAGCTAAGATACTGAGGTCTTAAAAGCATGAGGATAAAACATACCAAATTGAGTGGAACAGAAGAAAAAGTGACCGATGGAACACATTTAGAAATATGAGTGCTGGTTTCTTTCCCCTACCTCCCTCTCCTACCGAAAAGGTATTTGAAAATAATAAATTGTAGAGTTGTTTCTGATGGACACTGTCAAATGACTAATCAATGGACATAACAAAATTATAACACAACATATCTAAATGTTGTAAAATCCCTTCTAGCCAATTCTGTTATTACACAGGAATCCCAGGGCAGAATTCAGCCCTTTAGGTTTTGCTGATCAAAACCATATCTAACTTCATTAACTTCTGCCAGTGGAAGCCTTGGAAAAAATCTGCTTCTGTGATTTTAAATCTTCATTGTATGGAGATGGACAGTTTTCCTAAATGGTCAGATTTGATCATACTGTTAAAATTTTGCAGATGAGACAAACCTGGTAGAGCTGCAAACACTTTGGAGACTAGAGCTAAAATTCAAAGGGATCTTGATAAATTGGAGAATTGGGTTATGAACAACAAAATGAAATTCAACGAAGACAGATGTAAGGTGCTATACTTCGGGAAGAAAAACCATATGCACAAATATAGAACGGGGGATAACTGGCTTGGCAGCAGCACTGCTGAGAAGATCTGGTAGTTGTGTTGGATCACAACCTTAACATGAGTGAACAATGCACTGTTGTTGCAAAAAAAGCAAATGCAATTTTGAGTTGCAGTAACAGAGGTGTAGCATGCAAGTCGCAGGAGGTGATAGTACCGCTCTACTTGGTGCTGGTTAGTCTTCAGCTGGAGCTGTGTGTCCAGTTTTGGTCACTGCTGTATAGAAAGGATATAGAGAAACTGGAAAGGATCCAGAGGCAAGCGACAAAGATAATCAAAGGGATGGAATGCAAGCCATATGAGCAAAGGCTGAAGGAACTGGGTATGTTTAGTTTGGAAAAGCTGCCATAAAAAAGAAGGAGAAAAGATGTCTCTTTTGCCATAGAGGGTAGGACAAGAGGCAATGGGTTCAAACTGCAGCATAGAAGATTTTGATTAAACCTCAGGAAATACTTCCTGACTGTAAGAACAGTAGGACAATGGAACAAACTACTTAATGAAAATTCCTTCACTGGAGGTTTTCAAAAGGAGGCTGGATAGCCATCTGTCTTGGATGGTTTAGACACAACAAATCCTGCATATTGGCAGGGGGTTAGAGTAGATGACCCTTGCAGTCCCTTCTAAACCTCTCGTTCTGATTCGATGATACACTAAAAAAGGCTTGATTGTCAAAGATGGGTGTATAAAATTTGAATGCTGAGAAACCACAACTGCATGCGCAAATGGATATCATTTGTGCACACAAGTGGCTAGCTACGACACATGACTGACTGTGAATACCCATACATTCATATGAACACATGTAGTCGTATGTGCAGTTGTATGTGCAAAGTAACTGAGCATCAGTCTTTGAAAATGGAGCCTAAAACGTTTGGTGTTGGTTTTGCTACAATCTGTGAAAGTTTTGCTGCCAAAGTTGACCTGCTGGACTTTAGCTTCAGACTGCCTTGTCAGTAGTATACTATTTGCAAGCTCTTATTTGTTTTTCTTTAAATTTAGACTATATGTTCTGTGCTTACTGTGTAGAATGGAGCCTTTTTGACCAGTTTTGCTAATGTTCTAACTTTCAGGAGAAAAATATGAACTCCATGCTGCAACTGACACTACTCCCAGTGTTGTTGTCCACGTATGTGAGAGTGACCAGGAAAATGAAGTGGAGGAGGAAGAGGAAGGCACGAAGAAACCCAAACCGAAAATTATTCAGACAAGAAGGCCGGAGTATACTCCTACTCATTTAAGTTGAAGTGATTCTAACTTTCAAGGGTTTCAAGTAGACGTATACAAGAAAAATGCTTACTATGGAAGTGTCAGGTCACAATTTTGGTGGCAGTGGCTGCAGCAGTAGTAGGAGAAATTCCAATGTAATGTTACTCAGAAAAACACCGGAAGTTTCCTCATTGTTTTTAATGCTGCACATTGGTTAATATGTATGGAACCTAAAATCAACTTCCAGGTCAGAGTTAAGGTGATCAGAAAAAGGCATTTTGAGAAAGAATTGATATGCTGAAGATACCTTTTTAAGGAATCCTAGGCTGCTTCATTATAAAACAGATGGGGAAAGCTTTCTTTGATCTATCTCACATGATATGCCTCTAATTCATAGGCTAAACATATGTGAAGTACATGTGATACTGAGAGGGTTTAAAGATATGGGAATTGTAAACATTTTTCTTATGTTAGGTTGTTTTGTGCATGTGTATTACTGATGTTCAAAAATAACTTTGCATTATTTTCTATATAGTTTCTCACTTCACGCTTTTTGAAATCTGGGAAGTTGTCTTCAATGCTTATCTCTCAGCATCCTGGGTCTCTTACTGTATGTATGTTTTATTGGTACTCAGTTTCCAGTGGACATACAATTTGTGTAGCACCTTATTTTGGTGCAATATAATTTGTGCTTTTAAAATTTTAATCTGTTATTAAATGCTTATGTGGGGTTTTGTCTAACAAAGTTATGGAAAAAATTGTGCAATAGGAAAATTGTTCAAGTAAGTGGATTTTAAATTATTTAAACTTTAAGTTATACGTTTTTAAGTAATACTGGTTCAATTATTTTGATTTTCTCCTTTTGAAAAACAAAATTCTTAAACATGTAAATAAAGCTAGTACTGTATCTTCACAGCAATGTACAGTTTTCAGTGAGAAGTATGGCAGTGGAAGAAAACCTGAGCTGTATTACTCTTTACATTAACTTGTACATTTTAGCTGGTGCAGTTACACATTTTAACAGTGATTCAACACACATGATGTGAAATAGATGACAGATGTGTGGTATATTTGAGAGGGATGGAGTGCCTTTTCCCCATTAATTTGTGATGGGATTGTTATACTAGCTGAACGCTTGTATTTTTTCTAATAGCTGTGTCTGTCCAATAAGTATGTATTCTCTTTTGGCTTTGTTTCCAAAACAGGCTGGCATTTAGAAATGCTTCGTACCAAGTAATAATGCATGCTTTACCAGTTCAGGTGATGGCTTGCTGTGGGAACAGACAAGCTTTCATTCTGTTTGGTTTGGGTACTGTTTTAAGGACAGTGGTGAATGATGTACAAGCTTTCTGTCATGTTTACATAACAAACAAATACATGCTATACCAGTTCAAGTGTTTCCAAGAATCTGCTTTTAAAATGGAGATTCTAACTTTGGAAAATTTTAATACTTTTTAAAAATACACTAATATATTGACAAAATATACTGTTGGGGGAGGACATGTTTCTCTTTTAGAAGGAGAGTTATTTTGGGGGTTCAGACATGTCTTTATTTCTAAAAACCTTGATCCTCTTTTTGAAGTCAGTGAGAACTTTGCCATTCGCTTCATTAGTAGTAGGACTAGGCTCGGGATGAGCATTGTAGCTGTTGTTGCATTAAAATGATATGCATTATTATGTGCCATTTGTAGTTAATGTTGACTTGGAGGCCCAACATAATACACTTTGGGGTAGAAATAGAACAAATATTATAAAGAATACAATACTGTATGTACTGATGAATTTGTACAATCATTCCAACTGATAATACAGTATAGACTCCACACTACTAAAAGCCTACCATTGTGCTGACCAAGACACACAATGTTATTGTGACCAAAGAGAACAGAAACCTGTTAAACCTCAGTAATAGTCTGAAGTTGTAGGGCCTTATTCTGATGGATTAGACTTACAGTACGTATGCATGCACACAGACTGATGCAGACTTTTGGTTCCTATCTGTGACACACAGAGAGAGAGATACGCTCTCCCCGTGTGTGTTATGCTATTTGATACAAAGTTTGCAGGTGTAGAATGTCACCCAGCATAGCTTTAGGTCAGGCTGTGTTTTACTGCTGATTTCATATAGTGTATAAATACAGGGGCACATGAGCTACTTTTGTGTTACTGAAGTGTAAACAGCAGACTGCAATGCATGACATTCTTTGTCCTTTTTATATTTTAAGTGCAGGATACAATGACCAAACTAGAGAAACATCAAAGTATACAAATGTCTCTAGTATAGCTTTCTAAGGCTTCTCATGTAGCCCAAGACACTGCTGCTAGATTTGATGCAGATGTTTTATATTTGCCCTTCATTCAACACAAAATCTTTGGCCTAATTTCTGTAGCATTCTCCTCCACCTCCTCTTCTGCTACCAGCATAGACCCTGGACACTAGGTGCTGTTACTGTTGCCTCTATGGGACTGCCAAGATGCATCACTTATCTTCAATAGAAAAGAGAATGTAAAACAAACAGTGACATGATTTTGAATGTTAGTACACATTGAGACATTCTGCATGATGGAGGTTGAAGGTAGTCATTCAGAATCAGAACTATGAATGATTTGGGCTGGCTGCAGTGTCTGCCACTCCCAACTGTATTTGTGAACACGGATTGCTGGACGGTAACTGCCCATCTTGCTGTCTGGCCCCAGGTTGTGTATCCTGGCCTAGGTCTGTTCTCTTAGCACCAGTGTGGTGTATGGATCACTCTGTTTCTGTATGAAAATAACAGCTGTTATGTTAAGACAAACTGGTATTTTATAAGATTGTATAGTATGGGACATTTTAAATTAAAGTATTTGGATTGTCTACTTATAAATGTCATGGTGTTGTTTATGCATGAAGCAATAATTAAAGATTTTGGTGTAAAAATGCTTAAACTTCAAGCATCCAAAAATATACTTATGTCAGGATAAGGACTTTGTCCCAGCTTACTTGGTACGCTCACATCCTTGCCAGCCAAATTTAATTTTATTAATTACCGGGGGGGAGAGGGGAGAATCCAGTTTGATAGTCTTTTACAACATTGTTTAATCTCTTTAAAAACTGATTTTATTACATTTTTCATAGTGTCAACATTTGAATAGTTTCATGTACTTAGCCAGCAAGCCTAGTCGTTAATGTTACGAGGCATGCAAAATGCATTAAAGGGCCACCTCTTAACCCAGGGCAAGAATTCTTTTATTGTAAAATAAAGATGTGGAGAAAGGAGTTGTTGATGTCAGTGTTAGTCAGTCTTTTACATTGCCTTCTGCATAGAAATTCTGATGTATCAGCATCTTACAATTGGCATTATTTATATTTATTGTGTGTAGCAACGTTCTGCCTCTAATACAGACAAGCATCTCTAGTTGAATTCAATGGAAGCCACTTATACACATCTGAGGAAATAATTTGGCTCTTGATCAGAAAGTACAACTCAAACTACAGGATTAATTGGACCAGTCTGCTTTAACTCGCACACCTCCTTAAGCTGGTTCACTTTTTAGAAAAAAATACATGGAAACTGCTGTGTTTGGCTAATTCCACTCTGTTTTGCTTATTGTCGGTTTTATAAGAGTCCCGCCCACTGTTATGAAACTCCAGAAAAATGAAAATGATATTCTGCCATTCAAGAAATCACATGCATATAAGAATGGTTACCACTGTGTGTTCATTCTAATGAAATTGGTACAGATGGGCTGTGTACGGTGCCTTAAGTGTTAACAGAATACGGCCCTTACTCATAGTCAAGACGAGTCCAAAAATGCACAGGGCAAAAATTATTTTTAAGCAGGCTGTTATTTCTAGCCATCAAGAAGTACTTAACTATTTTGGGTTCTAATTCCTTAGGCTGGCATTGTCAAAGAAGCCTGAAGAAGTAAGGTGCCTAACTACCAATGAATTTCTCATGTCCTTTAAAAATCCCAGCTACAATACTTGCCTGCATAGATAAACTATACTCTGCATTGTGCTAGAAGCAATGTCTTAGCAAAGCAAGTTCTGTTAAAGTTGAAGCTCTCGATCTATAATTTGTTTGTATTCCAGCTGCACCTAGGAGTCCCCAAATAATCAGAATAATAAAGTAATGGGTAGAATGCTACTTTATCCATGCAGAACTGAATTTCAAAATACTAGGTTTTGGGGGCTTATGTTTCATCTCCCATTTTTACTACAATCTTGGATTAGCTCCAGTGCTCCAAAATTGTTGATAATCATTTTAAAATTATCACATAAACAAATTATATTTAGTATGATTCACGTATTGTTTGTAAAAATGCAAGTCACTGCATATTAACACTTAAAATAAATTACAAAATGTTGTATATCATGCTAATGGGTAGCGGAGCCAGAAAGAGGTTTCACATCATCCAGTCTAATCACCTGTATATTGCAGGATGTTTTACTTAAAAATCGAGTCCTGCAATCTCTTTACTCACAGAACTCCCATTGCTTGAACAATGGCTACAGCATTGGGGCCTACTTCATTAACTTGTCCCCTCTAATCGGTATCTAAGTATCTAAAATAATGGAGCCCTACCACCTCTATCGGTCTAACTGCCTGGCTGTTATGGTCCCCAGTGCTCATCTCCACTGGCTGGGAGAGAAGCAAAGCATTGAAAGGGGCATCAAGTGGCATGAATGGGCAGGAAGGGTGTGGAGCTGAAGCAGCACACCCTCGCTTGTCACAAAGCAGTGGACACTTTGCCCACCTACTCTTTCAGGCTCAGCAGGCTCTTGGAGTGGGGGGGATCCAGGAAGCAGCTATTCTCCATAGAATGCTTTCCCTACAGCTCTTTGGACTTCCAGCAGATTGAGGCTCCATAAAGCTTAGGGGAGACTCCCCTGGTCACTTTTTAAGGCCTGAAGCTCCTCTCTTTTCCCACAAAAGACATGGCTTTGAAACCATGACATTTTGATGTCCTAGCACTTCCTTTTTGGAGTTTGTATGTAGGCAGGGTAGCATGGAGGAGCAGTAGAACATTTTTATATCTAGTCAAAACTCTTCAGTCCTTGTCTTCATCCCATTGCTTTTTTGTGCTAGCAAATTCTGACCCCGTGAATAATTGTGTTCTTTAACTTCAAAGTAACAGGGAAAGTTACTTATCGCTTGCCCTTCTGTTGACCTTCGGTCTACTTTTGTAACCTATAAAAATATAGCTCCCTAATTTGTTCCTTATGTTTTATCCTTCAGTCTTTCTGCCATATAGTTGGCTGTTCCTTGTATTTTCTTTTTCT